CTAAAATTTCGTCTGCTATTAAAGTTAGCCCTTTTCATTGGTTAGTTTGATAGTCGTGGCTTGCCAGTCGTCTTCAGTTGAACTAAAACTAGGACTTGATTTAGTCGTAGTTAAAACTTCAACTACATTGTTTGTGAATACAAATTGAAGTTAAAGATGCAACTAGCACTAAATGAAGTTCTAGTTCGAAGTTCGACTAAAGTTTGTTTTAAGAATACGGGCGTTAATGCTGGGTAAGTTAAAAACAGACATTTCGTCCGAGTGGGACTCATTCAAAAATTCGAGGGGGTTCGCCCGAACCATAAAAATCCACCCCTGGCTACGGGCCTGTAACTTATATAATATAACAACAAAAGTAAATAATATACTAAACGTACATAATATAATAACGTCAATAGTATATTACTATATGTAAATAATAAAATGAATGTATGTAATGTAATAATAATAAATGTATGTAATATACTAATAACGTACATATATATATGACATTATAACATAATAAACATCTATAGTATAATAATAAACACATATATTATAATTATGAACATATATAATATAATAATAAATTTTAATAATATAATAATGAACGTAAATAATATAATAACAAACGTAAATAATATAATAGGAAACATAAATAATATAATATTTTTTGTAGGCCTAAGACAGCTGAGGCTTGCCATAATAACATATGGAATGTTGTTTACTTTCGTTGTCCAACTAACTGTCTTAAATGTGATGGATTGGACTCTAGGGACTTTCCTGGATAGTATGGATAGAAAACACTCCAAAAACCTTCAATACTGTGGTTTGGATAAAGTTCTACAGATACAGCATAGAATTATTTTGTGGTTTGATTAAAACAAACTTGATACTTGACATTGAACAGAGCTCGTCGTCTGGGCAATTGGGCTAAACCTTGGGCCTCGCAGAGGTCTGTTTTTTTAAATAATAATCATAGTTTGACTGAGTGAGCTGATCAAGAAAAGAATATTAGTAACAAAACTTATTTTTAGCCCACTCTCTGATGCCCCTTTCAGATAGACGTTACCACAATATTGCAGTAAGCATGCCAACATAATAACCGGTCTATAACCTTTCATACAGCCACTTTGTTACGGAAATATTGCGGTAATCCAACGCTTTCTGTCTGAAAGGGTCCTAGAGAATGGCGCAATATTAGCAGTTTCAAACACAGAGGGCTCAATTTTTTGTTTACATTTTTGTCACTATGGCACCCGATCAAACATTACAGTTGTTGCTGTGTAAATGTTGCTGTTCCAAGGGCAGTAAATTTAATCTTTCTTTGGTGTAGAAGGACTGATGACTGTCATCTATTGCTGTTTTATGCCACCTTCCTCAAAGTGTACAAAAAATAAAATAAATAATATTGTGATGTTCTTGTTGTGTTGATTCTTTGTTGATTGCTGGTTGACTTGATTAAGTTAAACAATATTTTGCACAATTGCGACGAAATATGAGATCTTTATTTTTACAAACCACGAAAAGGAAGTGAACAAATAATATAAATACCACTGTGCTCAATTGTTTTCAACTTTAATGTTGTTCGTGCCAGTGCATAAATAATGCACCCGCCGGCTTCATTGCTGCAATACCCTTTCAGACAAAACAAGCCAGTAACCGTAATGCTGCAATATTGCAGCATTATACTAGAGTGCGAGGTGGTCTGAAATAAGCGTGCATATTGGCATATCGACCCTTTCAGACAAAAACCCATGTCGGCTTGCTTACCGCAATATTGTGGTATTGCAGCTCTGTCTGAAAGGGGCTTGAGAGAGGGCTTGATTACTGATCAGGAACACTTTTTGTAGATTCAACACCATTTTGAGTTCATATAGGCTGGTATAAATGGTGATCTCTTTGTTAAAAATTCTAAGTGTAAAGTTCTGTAAAATTCTAAGTGTAAAGTTCTGTATTTTATTAGCTTTGTTTAATAATTTATTCTATTTCTTTTTAATATAAGTTTCTGATAATATACGTGCAAATGACTATTAATGTGAACAAACTTTTTGTTCTTCTAGCAATGCAACAAGCGACTGCTTATTTTTGGTATGTTGATTTAGGAGTCATCTACAGTGTTGACTATCTTTATATACTTCCTGGAAATGAAGGTAAATTGTAAATGCGTTTTTGACAAATATTACATGTAAATTTTTTTTTCTTTAATTTCCTTCACATCCAATAGCAAGTACACTTGCCACTTACAGGATGAGAATGATGCTTTATAAGCCCAGCCTCTTTATGAGGCTTAGGAAGTGGAGTCGTGAGAAAAAATCCTACTTAGACAGGAATTGAAGCCAGTACCTTGGGATCAGAAGGCAAGCATCTTAACCACTGAGCTATTTAACTCCACTCAACATTTTAACCAAAAAAGAAATGTTTTACTGCTGGTATCCACCATAGCATATTGTCAAATGGACACAATAAGAAGTGTTTGGAAAATTTAAAAAAATAGCAATATATGATATAAATAAAACTTAGGCAACTAATAACTCTTAAACTAAATACAGTTTTAACATTTTGTATTGCAGCTAGTCTGATTGACATTGATGTGTATGTTGAAAAGGAATTGGCAATCCCTGGTAGTAACCAGTGTGGATCTACTATTACCACTATTTCATCCAATTACTATTACATAGACTGCAATCCATCAATTAATGGACGTTATGTTATATTATATCGAAGTCATACTAGTAACACGAAGCTCACTCTGTGTCAAGTTCAAGTGTTTGGAGGTACAATCTTTTCATTTTTGGTTCCTATGCATGCAATGCAATAGGAACTATTGTAATCACTCTTCTTTTTCTTTTGTTTTTTATTTTGTATTATGTGTGTGCGTGTGTGTGTAGACATTTATGCAAATGCGTATGCGTCAAAGAAAAGTTTTCCGACATTTGTTTTACCTCGCGATGAGAAGTTCGATGTGAATTTTCTGCAGAGTTCAGTCAGGGCTCACGATAACCGATCGGCAAGTCGGCATGGATGAAACTTTTTTGGTTTTACGGTAAAAAAAATCAACTGCTATGGCATAGGTATTTTGAAGAAGGCCTAAAATAAAACAAAAAGGTTTTAATACTTGCTGAAATACATCGTTTTTGCATTTAAATTCCATTAACTCCATGCGACGTTTTTTTCTGTTGTATGAGTAGTCATATGGAGGTACTACAGTATATCCCCGACAGTTGGCTATGCAGCAATGTACCCTTTGAATGCAAATTGAAGACAAGTGAAGATAAGGCAGCCGACTGTCAGGTACATAACGACTGTCTATACTTTCCACAAAAACATGAGGCCTAAAAGCTAAAAAGCCTATTTCAGTACAGTAGTTACTGCGATGCGAGGGTGGTAGATCGTTTAGTCAGTGATATCATGTTATGGTTATCATCTAATACATTTTAATAATGTGTGTAAATTTAAGAATGTCGCTTTATTTGTTATGCGGTAGTAGTATACGTCGCAGATTGACGGCAGCAATCTAAGCCTAGCCTAGGGCCTAGATAGTATACTTCCTGGGATGGGTTTTTGGACATACTGGATGCTGCTGTCCGTGATAGCGTTCCATGTGTTACTAGAAAAGAACGAAAACAAACTAGTCCATGGATCACTAAAGACATTCATCGTATGATCCATAAGAAACGACGATTATTTAAGAAATCTAAGAATACTGGTTTGCCTGAACATTCGGAATCGCATAGGAAATGGCGCAACACATCTAGATGAAGTCTTATAAAGACTATATAAACGATCTGTTTAAATCTGATAATAATAAAAAACGGTTTTTTTCATTTGTAAAGGCTAAACGTAAGTCTAGCCTACCAAACAAATTTGTGAATCCTGCTAACGATACCTTTGCTTAACAATGGGCTCAGAGCTTCAAAAGAGCTTTCTTTGTTTTTGTAGGTATCTTTGATCATTAGAGTAAGAATGCTTTGATCTTTTGTTTAAATCACTGCTATGTCACCTACTAGAGGTAATGTTTTGATCGGTTAAACACTTTTGGTACTAGTGCATATAAGCTTGCTAACATGGATAATTTTTCATTCCTGATGATGACATAATTAATGTCGAAATATTGAATCCCAACACGATGGCGTGTATTTCAATACTTGGAGTATGTATTATACTTTCTTATCTGAGATTAATCAGTGGACCTTTCGGCTAACGATACCGTTTTATCTAATTTGCATGATATTGTTAATGGTTTTAATACTTATACTGTACACAATGATATTAATGTTGGGTTTAATTATAGAGAACCGCCTGTTTGTACACTTCCAATTCCCATATTATCCGATGCCATTTTCACTCCTGATGACATTGCATCTACAATCTCCTCTTTTCGGTTAAATTCTGCGCCAGGTCCGGATTTAATTTCTGCTAAGTTAATAAAACCAATTGCCAGCTCCATTGCTTGTCCTCTTTGGAAACTTTTTCGTACGTCTTTATGTACTGGTACTGTTCCTGGGGACTGGAAGTGTGTAAACACAGTTCCCGTCTATAAATCTGGTGATAAGGCTCTAATGTCTAACTACAGACCCGTTTCCCTGTCATCGTTAATTTGTAAGATTTTGGAGAAGCTTATAATCCATAATATAAATTCATTTGTTAATGAGTATTACCTTCTTAATCCTAACCAGTACGGGTTTGTTAGAGGTAAATCATGTGTTACTCAGCTTAATGACATATATTTTAAATGGGCTAAACTGCTTGACAAACGTGGCTCAGCAGCTACAGTATCGTCGATACTATATTTTTAGACATGAGTAAAGCATTTGATAAAATGCCTTTTGATATTTTATTATATAAACTTGCTACTAATTTTAACATTCAGGGAAGCCTATGGAAATGGATGTCATCATATCTCACAGACAGAAAACAAAGAGTATGTTTCAAGGGTCTTACATCTTCTCCCCTACCTGTCACTTCTGGTATTCCTCAGGGGAGTTGCCTTGGGCCTATTCTTTTTAATTTATTCATTAATGATGTTTCTCAGAATGTTTTATCTGATCATGCTCTGTTTGCTGATGACATAGTTATCTTTAGGCATAGACAATCTGAGAATGATGTATCACTTCTTCAGAATGATATTGACACTCTTGCTTTGTGGGCACAAAATAACAAAATGAAATTCAATGTTAAAAAATCTAAGCTAATGTACATAACTAGAAAACGTGACTTTGCAAGGTCAGTATTTTTACTGAATGGTGAGAATATCAATGTTGTTGATACCCACAAACATTTAGGTGTATATATCGATAGAAATCTTAATTGGAAGAGCCACATTGATAATGTTATCAAACATGCTAACCGAATGGTTGGTTTAATTTTTTCGGTTGCTGCAAATTGTTCACCTGATGCCATGTCTCATCTTTACAAATCCCTTGTTTTACCGATCTTGGAGTATGGACTACCTGTATGGAGTCCTCATTGTCAAGATCACGTAAATCGTCTTGAAAAAGTACAACAGAGAGTCTCTAGGAGAATTCTTTGGCGTCACTGTGGTCCCATTAATTATAACGAACGACTTATTACTCTCAATTGGCTTTCTCTTCGGGACAGACGATATATTATTCTGATCTCATTTATTTTTCATTGTTTCCATAAGATAACACATTGCAGTAGCGTTAGTAATCATATTCATGTTAACCCCCGACTTTTATATACTTTAACTTTTACTCATCCGGTATATTATACAAACGCTTTTAAATTTTCATCTGTTAACAACTTTCCAATTCAGTTTGCTTCATTGCCCTCCGATATTAAAGATGATGCTGTTATTTGTTCGTACAATTCTTTTATTTGTAAACTTAGACAATACTTACTGAATAAACGATAATTTTTAATTGTTTGGTATTGGCCTTTCATGATTCTTTTTGTTTTTTACTGATTTTAAATTTCCCTACAATTTTATGGTTATGTTGTAAATAATTGTTTTG